AAGAACTTTATCCTCCCTTCCTGTTTCAGTTAGCTGTAACGCCAAAACTTAGTGACTTAAAGCAACAACAACTTATTATTTCTCATGATTCTGAGTACTAAATGGATTGTTTCCCTGCTGCTTGGCTTATTTATGCATTTGTTGTTCTTGTTATTAAGGTGCTGTCGATTCGATTTCGACTCATAGCGACCGCATGTGACAGAGTAGAACTGTCGCACTGGGTTTTCTAGGCTGTAATCTTTACAGAAGCAGATCACCAGATCTTTCTTCCTTGGAGCCATTGGGTGGGTTAGAACAGCCGACCTTTTGGTTAGCAGCCGAGAATTTAACAGTTGCACCACCAGGGCTCCATATTCATGCACTTACAGTTATTTAATAGATCACCTGGGGCTGGAGGGTCCAACATGGCTTCACTTACATGTCCAGCGTTTCCTGCTGACTGTTGACCAAACCATTCATTCTCCTCCATGTGGCCTCTCATCCTCCATTAGGCTAGACTGGGCTTCTTCATAGCCTGGTGGTTTCAGATTTCCAAAAAGATGATATAGAATCTGCAAGGTCTTTTAATGCCTAACCTCGAAAGTCGCAGTATCATTTCTGCTTCATTCTGTTGATAAAGCAAATAACAGGGCCACGTCAGATTCAACAAGAGGGAAAATATATTCCATCTCCCAAAGTAATGACAGACAAAGTCATACTGCAAAGGCGCATACAGACTGCAAGGACTTCTTTTGGCCACAATTCCAAACCATCTACCACACTTACAACCTCCCAACATCTGGCTATCAAGAACCCTGAGTCAGGAAGTGGTGGCCCTTCCTCATATCTAAGACAAGCCTGTCCTGGATCCATCCCTCCCACCTGCTCTGGGATCCTACTCTTTTTACTGTTACTTCAGCCTTTCCTTTGCCACTGGTTCTTTCTTACTATCATTTAACCATATCTAAGTTGCCTTAACAATAAATTTAAATTCTCCTCAAATCGTTAATGGTTTGCCATTACCCTGAAAAAAGAAGTCCACTTTTATTAACATGGTCCTATCCACCTTGGTTTTAGACAAGTTACTTGAAATGAAGTCAACTGTACACTTATGGCTCCCACCTCTACTTTCCATTCTTGACTTTCTTTCCTTCTTTGGCTTCTATGACACCTTTGTCTCCTGGTTTCCCTTCTCCCACTCTGATCACACCTGCCTAGTTTCTTTCCTTGACTCATTAAAACCTTAAGTGCTGTTTTCCCCAAAGGTCATCCCTCAGCTCTTTTCCTACAGTGTACTCTCTCAAGATGGTAGTATTTACATTTAGAGCCTCAACCATTATTACACGCTCATACGCGTCCACATAGTTTCTGAGAGGTTCCCCAGCAAGGTTGAGCCCAGTTGCCTATAGAAGTAACCTACTTATCAATATACCCTTTATTGGCTTTTCTTCCTCCCCTCTTTCATTTTTCCCATTTGCACACTGTGCCTTCTGAGAATTGCCTCCCAAAAAATTACCTGTGCCAAAGTCCATGTCTCAGCGTCTGTTTTTAGGAGAACCCAAACTAAGTCAGTCTATGTCCTAAATAATTCCAGCATTGGTTAGTCCTTCCTCTCTATGTCCTTAATTCAGGTCCTCTTTTCTCATTTGTATTACTTTATGAACTCTAACCTTGTCACTCTGCTGTAAATTTGCTCCTCTCTAATTTATTCCTGACACTGAAAGCAAACTTTTTCATAAATCAAAGAGTTGATCATGTGACACCCCACTTTAAAAACTTCAGTGATTCCCTACTTCTCCCTCCAGATAATAAATCCAAAGTCCTTAGAGTAGACTAAAGAACATTCATATCTGGACCCTGTTTACCTTGCCTGTCTCAAGTTTTACTCTAGCTATATTTGAACTATTTGTACTCATCAAAGGAATGATGCTGTTTCTTGATTCTGGAATTTGGCTGTGGCTGCACCAAGTTCATATCTGTCCAGTATTGCGATAGTACATTTGTTGTTTTGTTTCCCCCACTAAGTTTTAAGCAACTTAAAAAAATGTGCTTTATCCATTTGTATACCCCTAAAGCCTGGAAGAAATCCCCAGTGAGTAGAATGTTCTCAGTAAACATTAATTGACGTATCTGGCTTCAACTTAAATACTTTCTATAACAGGAGACTCATTACTTTTCTCTAAAGTTTTTTTATCCTATGAAACTAACCAATCATATTACAAAAAGCTTTAATATTTTTGAAAAACACCAACCATAACATCCTTAGTGTAATTTCTAATTCTGGTGCATTACCTTTTAATCTATGTTTTTACATAGATGTAGTTGTTTCTTCACCTGAAAAAAGGGAACAGTAATAATAAAAAGAACTAATAATAGATTGTACATACCATTAGCCAAGTAGTGTCCTAAGCATTTTATATACATAAACTCATTTAATTTTCATGATGATCCTGTGGGGTAGGCACTCCTACTACCTCTGTTTTATGGGCAAGGAAACTAAGATATAGAGAGGGTAATTGATTTGTCCCAAACCATACAGCTAAATAAATGGTGAAGCCAAGATCTGAATTCAGAGAGTCTGGCTCCAAATTTCGTGTTATATTTCATGGTGAGAATCAGATTACTTAATACATGGAAAGAACAGTGTCTGACACATGGTAAGAAATCAGTAAATGTTAGCTACTGTTATAATGAATATATTGAATATACATCTATATCTTGGTTTCATTTTACATGAGGTAATAAGTCATGTTTCATTCTACCATGCAATCTTAACTATCATTCTTTGTGACTGCACAATATTCTGTAGAATGGTCTTGCTGTTAATCATATTACTTTTAATCTTTCTTTATTAGCTATAACATTATGAAAATTATCACTATGCATTAAGCTTTTCTTCCATATGTTAGGTCATTTTTTTAAGAGTTTTAAGAAAGAATTCCAGAAATAAGAATTATGAGTTAAGTGTATAAAGTTTTTATGATTATGCATATCAGAAATTGCTTTGCAGAGGCATTATATCGAAACAAGGTTCTAGGGAGTTTGTTCAACAATTCATTGTTTGCAATTGCTAGAAAACTTATTTCCATTACTACAAGCTTTGCTCAAAGGACCTACTGAAAATAAGTACCATCCCTTTTCAACATAATAGACTTTCAAATATTTAAATTAAAAAAAAATTAAACACTGTTACCTGCGCCTCTACACAACCTCTCAATTCTCCTTCAGCCATTTCTTTTCCATGCTTAACATCCCCAACTTTCCCTTAGACACCTCATCCGGCAAAATTACTAGTCTTTTAACCATCTAAGTCATAGTCTCCTAAATACATTTCATTTTGCCGAGGTCCTTCTTAACTTGGAGATTCCAGGCATAGCCTGACCATAGCAGAGCACAGAGGGGCTATCTTTCCTTGACCAGGGCATCTATTTCCAGCAATGCAGGCTGAGGTCACATTAGCATTTTTGGCACTGAAATACTGTTGGCTCATGTTTAATTGCCGTCAAATAAGTCCTTTTTCGCATGAAAGTTTATTAAGTCTGGTTTCCCACATCCTGTACTGATGTAGATAATATTATGCACTTAAGTGAAATCATTCACATAGCTTATTATTAAACTTCCAGTAATTTGTTTAAGCTTATTGTTCCAGAATATTGAGATACTTCTGAATTCTCAAATAAGTATATCGATTTACTTGATAAGTATCTTTATGCTTTCTCTATCTTCACTCAAATCATTAATAAAGATATAGACTAAGACAATCCCAAGTGCAATGTCTATGGTACATCTTTAGAGTCCATCTTTGGTTGCTAGCAATCAGAATCTTTGAATACAGCTGTTCAACCAGCAGTGAATCCACAATTGTGTGTCCACTCAAGTACCTTAACACTCAACACCATTCATCCATTCTCTTCCTGAGGATATTATAGGAAGGAGGCTTTGTTAAATGACTTGTTGGAACTAAAATGAATCATGCTTATATAATTTCTATTCATTATTATTAGATTGATTTTATAATTTTTTATTGTCAAAAAAGACAATAAGCTATTTTAACCTGGATCTCATAACTGCCCTTATTTTCTAAGTGTTTACTAACTGTTGTTATTGTTGTTGTTAGTGTCATCGGGTTGGTTCTGACTCATAGCGAGCCCATGTACAACAGAACGAAACCCTGCCCAGTCGTGTGCCATCCTCACAATCGTTGCTGTGTTTGAGCCCTTTGTTGCAGCCACTGTATCAATCCATCTCCTTGAGGGTCCTCCTCTTTTTTGCTGACTCTCTACTTTACCAAGCATGTCCTTCTCTAGGGACTGGCCTCTCCTGACAACATGCCCAAAGTATGTGAGAAGAAGTCTTGCCATCCTTGCCTCTAAGGAGAATTGTGGCTGTACTTCCTCCAAGACAGATTTTATTGTTCTTCTGGAAGTCCATGGTATATTTAATATTCTTTGCCAACACCATAATTCAAAGGCATCAATTTTTCTTTGGTCTTCCTTATTCATTGTCCGGCTTTTGCATGCATGAGGCAATTGAAAATACCATGGCTTGGATCAGGCACACCTTAGTCCTCAAGGTGGCATCTTTGCTTACAAATTAGCACAGACTAATATTAAATCATATGTTGATCAAATGTGTATATTTCTTGACTTCTTTATGAAATTATCAGTTCCTTGTGGGAAAAGTCATTAATACTTCCATGTGTTTTTTGTAAACTAACACAGTTATAGACTTAAACAACAGCTAATGATTATTTTAGCCCCAAATAAAAAATAATGATATAAATTAATAAAGTAAGAATATAGATGCTACTTTGAGATGTGTCTTATCTGTTTTATGGGTTTTTTTTTAATTAAAATCAATCTGCAATTTAGAGAAGGCACTCTGCAAGGTAACTTTAAATTACTAAGAGAGGTTGACTATCTGATTATATCTGTGGGAACTATTTAGAACTAATCGTAATATAACTAAATAAAATGTTTCTTATTTTTTTCAAAATGTTAATTGGGTTATTTAACTTCCAGGGTACTTATTGGTTCTCCATTAGTTGGCCAACCCAAGAACAGAACTGGAGATGTCTATAAATGTCCAGTTGGGAGAAGTGAATCATTACCTTGCATAAAATTGGATCTACCAGGTATGTAAAGTCAAAAAGTAAAATTCAATGCTAAATCATGCCAAGTAATCTCACTGGGAAAAAAAAAATTCACACACCACAGGAAAACATTACAAGTAATCTTATAAACATTCTTCAGTTCTTTTAGTTTAAATTCACATAGAATAACATTTTGATTCCCCTCCCCTTAATTTGCTTTAGAAATCCACTGTAGTTTTGTAACTTTTAATTCCCTCCACTCTTCAGGATCTTTTTGTAAACCAATGGTAAGATTTCCACATAAACCTGATCATCACATTTCTTCTACAAAATGTAAATTAATTAGTGTTTAGATTTTAAAAGAAAATTGTACAAGAGTCATTGTAATAGATGAATTTAATTTTTGAAAAGAGAATAACAGAACAAAACTTATACCAAAATCGATATTTTTTATAGAAATATCACCGTAGTTGGAAGATGACTAGAAATACTATTAGAACTCTTCATAAATTAGAACCCTATCAATGTCCTATAAAATATTAAATAATGTGGAAATGATTCATAGACCCACAAGTTTATTTTATATATTGTGTTTTTTAGTTCTATAATTTTTTTATACCTCCTGTTTTTCAGCTGAGATTTCCTACTTGCTTGTTCCTTATGAATGTTTTTCCTTTAAATCCATGAGCATAGTTATAACAACCGTTTTAATAACCTTGCCTGATAATTCTAATATCTAGAATATCTCAATGCCACTTTTCATTTATTACCTTTCTCTTGAGGTTGGGTCACAGTTTCTGTTTTGTCATATGTGTGGTAATTTTGGATTATATCCTGGATAATGCTTTTGAATTTGTAACTATAGAGAAGTTAGGTTCTGTTTTGCACTCTTGGATAGTCTTAATTTTTTTTGTTTTAACAGGTAGTTTACTTGACTAAACTCAATTTTCAAACTCTGGCTTTCCTGCAGTGGGGAGCAGTTGAAATCTATATTCAGGTCTTTGAATTTTAGCTGGATTATTTGAATTCTTCCCTGTGCATGCACAGTTCAGGTTATCAGATATTTGGACAAAAACTATATGATGCATACATTAGAATTCTCCTTTTGTAGCTCTCCTTTCTGGGATATCCCCTCTCATTTCATAGCTGCTACCATTGCCCCGACCTTTGTCCTCTGTTTCTTCAGGAAGATAAGACTGCAAGTTCTATTTCAGTTTTAGCCACTGAGTAGGGCCTTCTCTCAGGGAGGGGGGAAAAAAAAAACCTCTACAAAAACACTGAACTCACCCCGTGCCAGTCTCTTCTTCCATGTCTAGACTGCCGTCAAGATTCTGCCTGGTTCTGGTTTCTTTCTAATGCCTTCAGGTAGTTGTTTCATATATTTTTTCTTTTTTCTAGTCTATAGTTGTTATTTGCAAGAGAGTTAATCTGATATGAGCTACTTGTTTTTTACTGGAAACTGGATAGAGTGTTAAAACTAGCCATCTCAAGAACCATTTCTGCTGTAGTTTCTAGTAGTCTCAGGGATGTTGATTCTGGGTCAGCTCTAGTATAAAAGACGCATCCAGATTATTTATGACTAGTCTAGATAAAAGCTCAAATCCAGGTGCTTTCAAAGAAAACCAGACTAAACTCTTGGGCAAAAACCAACATTCAGATTTGGAAATCAAACTGACCATTCAGGAATCCCTGCTTCCATTCCCCACTTTAAATCTATATATAGTCTTCAGGTAAGAATAATTTCTAGGCATAAACAATGAGATAAGTCTTTTTTGAACCAGAGCTGTACCACTTCCAAATATTTCAGCACTCTGTGTACAAAGCTTGGAAGCATTTGCTTTTGCTGTTTTTTTTTTTTTTTCTTTTTATGTGAATATGTGAATAACTTCTTGCTAATTTTGGTCAGGTTTGCATGCTTCAGAACCCAATATTTCTATTTGGAGCATCAAATATGTTGCTTTCAGTGTGTGTCTTTTATCCAAACTTCCTGGCCACTGCTCTAATCTTGCTTCTATTTCTCTTATAACCCTCATGATGTCCCCATGATGTTAAAAGTAATGGTCATAAAACTTGTGGTTGGGTTTTTCTTTCTGGTCTTCGCCTTTTTGTTTTTTTCCCTTTTCTTGTCAGAAATCATGTTTCATCATTGGTCATTTATAACAAAGTATGCAGGATTATATTATTTTTATAAAAATTGTGAGACTAAGTATTTTATTTGTTTTAATTAGCAAAAATGTGTGAAAAAAGCAATCCCACATTCTCATTGCTTTGCTAGTTCTGCATTCTTTTACAGTTCAGGAAAACTATTTGAGACTGTGATCCCAACAAAGTTTCTGGGACGTAAGCCAGGTTTTCAGCCTTAGCTTATTCATTATATTCCTTAATAATACTTTGAAGGCTGTTTGGTTGAACCAAAAGAAGAATGTGCAACGTATGAGCAAAGCAAATAGAGCATTTTAATGTGAAGACACTTAATTTCACTTTGTTTTCCACCCTCATAAATTTGTTCTATTTTTAGTTAATACATCAATTTCCAATGTCACAGAAGTAAAGGAGAACATGACCTTTGGATCAACCTTAGTCACCAACCCAAACGGAGGGTTTCTGGTAAGAAAGGAAAGAGTAATAACATTTAATGACACCAGAAATGCTATCATTATAAGTCTTTGTAAGATCCGTTATATGTTGCTAATCCTATTTTTTTACTTTTTTCGTTTTTTTTTTTTTTAAGGCATGTGGACCCTTATATGCCTATAGATGTGGACATTTACATTACACAACTGGAATCTGTTCTGATGTCAGCCCCACATTTCAAGTCGTGAACTCTTTTGCCCCTGTACGAGGTACGGATTTCATGTAATGTTCTTGCATGTTTGGAAAGCAGTAAGCAATGAATAAGACATATGTATACACAGAAGCATACCAAAAAGCTTGAAATATTTTCTCCCCTAACAGCATTACCAATTTAGGTAAATTTTTGCTTTGCCAATATATAACCAAACCTTAGTTCTATTTGGGAAATTGCTATTAGTGTAAATAGCCTTTACAGAGTCATATTTAAACACCATAGCTAAAGCTCTCACATTGCTTTTGTTTAGAAGGTGAGACTCTGTGGAAAGTAATCTCATTTGAAATAAGCACAGAATTAGAACTGTTATATAAAACAAATGTTGAGAAAATTTCCAAAGATAATTTTGGAATATTAATGAAAATTAAGTAGATACGGCTTTTACTTGATAGTTGTTTTTGAACACAATGAATACTTCATATCACCTTTAGTTTTTCTGAAATTATTTATAAAAGCTGTGTCCTGTTTGTATACTATTGGCTCATCTTTTAAAATGAGCTTGTTTCAGCTATGAAAATGCTGTTCATATACCTCTAAAATGACAGACTCCAAATTTGCAAAATTTGACTCCTTCTGTTGCAGATTGCAGCAGTCAACTGGACATAGTCATAGTGCTTGATGGTTCCAATAGTATTTACCCCTGGGAAAGTGTTACAGATTTTTTAAAAGACCTTCTGGAAAGAATGGATATTGGTCCTAAACAGACACAGGTATGTGACTCTGCATTTGGATTTCTGTTGTTTTTAAGAAAAAAATGAACAGAGTTTTAATAAAACAAAATGTTCTGAAAATAAATTCATCAAGAACGCTATATAATTCAGGATAAGTTTTATATTTCATATTCCTATTTCTTACTTCTGGTCAAGAGGAAATTACCGGAAGACTGTGTAGTTTTCTAAACAGAAACTATTAGGAAAGCTGCCATTTTAAATGCTATTGGAAAAATCCCTATACACCTCTATGAACTCATAACTTAATTCTAAAAGAAGTATAGCTGCCTTTGGTGATATCAGATCTGGGTTTCAGAATTTGTGGAAACTATTATGACATTTACCTTATAACTTCCTTTCTCGTATTATATAAGTAAATTAGTAATTGACCACAAGATATTGCTTAAAGTCTGTTTTCCCCTCTTTTTAATGATTTATTTCCTTCAGTAAAAAGCAAACATTCTAAGCTTTAGCTGCACAAAATTCATTTTTTTTAAATTTTGCCATGAGAATTGGTTTATAACAACATCTTCTTTATTGCCACTAAATGAAATGAAACATTTCACATGGCTCTTCTACTTAGACACTGAGTTTGAACTTAATTATTAACTAATTAATTAATTATTAAATATAAAAATAAATAACCAATTAGTAAATATTTACAGCCTCTTGGTTTAGACTACAGAAAAGACACAATAGATAACGGAGAAATAATATGACAAATTCTTTGAAGGAAGGAAATAGCATTAGAATCAGAGTCTAAGTGGGTGTTGAATGGTTTGGGGACTACAGGAAAGTGTAGGAGACTTTAGTACTGCACATGCAGTCCAATGTCCCTGCCTGTCTGAGAACTCTAGAGAAATTTCAGAGGCACTGAAAAAGAGATCTCGCAACATCAATGTTTACCACTCCCACATTAAAATTGGTACCTGTGTGTGTGTGTATATATGTATATATATATATATATCTGAGCCCTGGTTGCATAGTGGTTAAGAGCTTGGCTGCTAACCAAAAGGTCAGCAATTCAAATCCACCAGCCGCTCCTCAGAAACCCTATGAGCCAGTTCTACTCTGTCCTATAGGGTCGTTATGAGTCAGAACTGACTCGATGGCACCTAACAACAACAACATAAATATATAGTTGTGCCTTTGAGTTGATTCTGACTCATAGTCACCCTATAAGACAGTGTAGAACCTCCCCATAGGGTTTCCTAGGCTGTAATCTTTATGGGAGCAGATCGCCAGGTCTTTCTCCTGTGGAGCCGCTGGTGGGTTCGAACCACTGACCTTTGGGTTAGCAGCCAAGCACCTAACCATTGTGCCACCACGGCTCCATATATATATACATATATATACACATGCCCCTGGGTGCTGCAAATGGTTAATGTGCTCAGCTGTTAACCAAAAGGTTGGAGACTTGAGTCCACCCAGAGGTGCCTCAAAGGAAGATCTGGCAATCTACTTTCAAAAACTCAGCCGTTGAAAACCCTATGAAGCACAGTTCTACTCTGACGCACGTGGAGTCTCCATGAGGAGTCAATTCAGTGGCATCTGGTGATATCTATGTCTATCTATAAATTTTCCCGAATTGTGGTAGCTGAAGATTGCTAGTGCAAATTGGAAATCCAACTGTAAAGTGAAATGTCACTCTGCTGTGCTCCAAGACTGAATTGGCCTCTGCCAAACCTGTTGCTGTCCAGTCGATTCCGATTCATAGCAACCCTATAGGACAGAGTAGAACTACCCCATAGCACCTCCAAGGAGCAACTGGTGGATTCAAACTGCCAACCTTTTGGTTAGTAGCCAAACAGGAGCAAGGAGAGGTTGTTTATTTCCTACGGATCAATAGAGAACTTTTTGAAATCTCTCTCTCAAGTCATTAAAATAATAAAATGTAAATTCCCCTGGATGCAAGCTTTTCATCTGCAGATAATCTTCGTTCTTGAATTACTAGAGATTCCAAGAGGATATGGTATCTCTTCTTCCTATGGGGTAGCAAGGCATCCCATATCCCAAAGGGCATCCTAGATGTCTGACTTGCTGTTCTTTATGGCAAATGTTCTACAAAGACCCCCTCCCCTTCTTTTCCCCTTCTGAAGACTTCTCTACCTTCCTCCTTTCCTCTCTTCCCCTATCTTTTCTCTCCTATGAAATAAAATTTCATAGATCCATAAAATTAAATCTGAAAGGAACCTTAGAGTTCCTTTAGCTTTAAACCTTAATTTATGGAGGGGACACAAGAACTAAGTGATTTGTTCAGGGTCCCCTTGCTTGCTAATGGCAGATCAGAACACATGGCTTTCTACTTGTAGTCCAATGTTCTTTCCTTTTTGAGAGCTCTACTTTTGGAGAGGTTTCAGAGCTGGTCCCATCTGATGTTCCTGAGTAGCAGATCTCTAGTTATTTCCTTCTCCTCAAGGCTGTCTTCATCTTTCCTAGATCAGCTCCTCAGCCAGAACCCCACCTGGTCTCTTGGCATTCCATAACCTGCACTGATGTCTCTGAAGTCAAATTGCTTTATCATAGTTCTTCCTCATCTGTATTAGTTTTCTAGTACTGCTATAACAAAAATACCACAAGTGGGTGGCTTTAAAGAACAGAAATTTATTTTCTCACACTTCAGGAGTCTAGAAGTCTAAATTCAGGGCACTAGCTCTAGGGGAAGACTCTCTGTTGGCTCTGGGAGAATATTCTTGTCTGCTGACATTCCCCTGGAGCTGGTACGCTAAATTCAGACTTCTAGCCTCCTAGACTGTGAGAGAACAAATTTCTGTTTGTTAAAGCCACCCACTTGTGGTATTTTTGTTATAGCAGTACTAGAGAACTAAGACAATCCATAACACCTTGTCTCATCACTTCCCCCCATGATATGCTTTCTTCCCTTCCATTTTGTCCATCCCACTTAATCTTCTATAAAATTCTTCCTTTCCCAAGCTAATCATATTCATGAAATGTTTTTAAATTTCTAATATTTTAGTCATCTGAGAATTTTTTATTGTACTTTTAAATTCACATATTTCTCTGTTTTATTTTAAATAATTTTTACTTAAAATATTTTTATTGATTTTTGGAAATCAGCGCAGCTGTAACGTGGTTGAAGTTGCTCCACAGCTTCAAGAAGAAACTCTAGAAGGCTGTTTTAGAATAATGATAACATACTGCTTCAGTGGGGATCTGTACCAGTGGCTCAGCCTTGTAAAAAAATAGATAGCAATCAGTTGCTTATATGCTCAACCCATTCTGCTACAATTTTGATGTCTTTTTCTGTTAGAACTATAATTTATTTTGCATTTCTGTAACAAAAGTCCTAAAAGAGTTGCTATTCTGTTTGCCCACTAGAGAAGTTCCAGCCTGCCAGGGTGGGTTTCATGGAGTTGTATGTCTTTCTTGGAACAACGACTATATTCAGAGGAATGGGACCAGCCCTCAGGGTCCAGATGCTACCAGTGCGGAGAGGTGGCAGAAGGAAGTGAACTTAGCCTGAGGCAGAAGAGCCTGGCCACATTTACTCAGTTCAAGAACCCCATTCCACAGAAAGGAACAGTTCTGAATGCAGCACTGTGCATAATATCATTTGTAGTCTGTTTCTTCTGACTTCACTCAAGGGAACCTGCTTCCTAAAGAGAGGGGGTTTGACTTTATTTCTTAATTTTTATGTCACATTTTGCTTGTATTATTCATTATGGAGCTTAACTGTACTAAATTTTTCATGTATATTTACTGAGTGTTTACTATGTGTCACTCACTGTGTTAGACTTGGATCAGTAGTGGAGAATAAGCGACACAGATCCTGCCCTAATGGTGCTTTTGTCTAATGCAGTGTTTTTCAAACTACAGCCCATGATTTCCTGCTTCTAAATCTCTGAGGTGCTTGGAGGGTACCACAGACTTTCAGAAGCAGAATCTTTGAGGGTGAGGCTACAGAGCCTGCATTTTAAGCAAGCATCCCACATGATTCTTAAACAGGTTAAAGTTTGAGAAGTATTGGACTGGCGCATTATTAGGATATTGATTTTGGTGTGTGTCTGTGTCTCTGTGTATATGTCTGTATACGAGCATGTGTGTTTGTGTGTATATCTGTGTGTGTCTGTGTGTCTGTATGCATTGCATCCTCTAGATTATGGGCTCCCCAAGAGCAAATAATTTCTGATGTCAGCTTTTTTGCCTCCTTTGTGGCCAGCCCAGTTCTTTGCTGTGACACAGCAAGACTTCAAGGAGCACTTGTTGAATAAGTCCATATAACATAATTAATGTGTTTTTTTGTATTCTTTTCTGATGGACAGACATTTAATGAGACTTTTTCTATAACTGACATTTTAATATACCTAAAGTCTTTTCTATTTTCGTTTAAGTTGTATCAATGTCTAGCTTCATAAGTAATTCTCTAGAAGAAAGGGATTGAGAAGGATATATTTACTAAGCCATTGCTTTTACTAAATTCTATTTAATACGGTTTCAAGTATAGCACTTTAAACTCTCTTTAAAGTTTAACCTTCCTTAAGTCATTTAGAAAATAAATTCATTCATAGAAAATTAGGAAAGATAGTTGCTCTTCAAAGAAATGTGTACTGAGAAACATACTAATCTTTCATGTGGGCTTACAGTAGTTCATTCCAAAAGCATAGACAGTTTTGTTTGTTTTGACAATGTTTTTTTTTCTGATTAGTTGCTAACATAATTTAAATGTTTGTTTTTTTGTTCCTATTTTTTAAATGAAAGCAACCAGTTCTGCCTTAAAATTGGCAGGATTGTAAAACTTTCCTTCCCTCTAAGTTATCCCCCATGTCTATCCCTGAAGGAGATAGATATAAAAATGAATTGTGAGAGAGACTCCTCAGAAGAGGTTGAAAAGACAGAAAGCTAAGAGCTGGATAGAGGACTCTTAGATGTCTCACCCACACCAAGGGTATAAGAGCAGTAAGAGTGGAAGTGATAAGATTTGTGAAGAGGATTTCTTTCTAGAAAGAGCCTAGTGAGAAAGGCTTCAATGGAATCACACA